CGTAAAGTCTGCGAGGGCGGAGACTGCAAGTGGCTGATAGACAGCCCTCAAGACTGTTTCACTCATTGCTGTGGAAACGAACTCATCTGTCCCTGCAGATAACAAGCTATAAATCCCATGTTTGGCCTTTTTTGTGACTGAACACAATGTAGGATATTAATACATCTCTATATAACAGGCTACATGCTTATAAAAAACAAAAATGGTTGTAAATGAGGACAAGACTATAACTCTATAACTGAATTGGGTATTACTGACATTAGAAGACCTTCTTTGGTTGTTTTTCAGCCAATTTTCTTTTAGCCTATTACACGGTGCAGCCTGATAGGCTACAATAATAAAAATGCATTCCTATTTCCTTTCCTGTACTTGTTCATAATTCTGTGTCATGATGTTGGTGATTTTCTGGCCTACACAATTCAAATAGCTTTTTAATAGACCTACCTATCAATAACGATTTTACTCATTCATATGTTTTTTCAACAGTTGAAAAAACCACAGTGTCACGTCCGTATTGAAAACAACTGTGGGTTATTAAATCAGTGAAGTCTGCTGAAGTTTGCACCCCAGGCGGACTCTTTGGAAGTCTACAGAAAGCCTGCTTGAGGCGCCTTGTGGACTGGTTGAATTGTAGATTTGGACAGCCCTCAGCACTCCCTGACTTGACGGGAACGTGCCCACAAAATCTGCAAGTCTGCAAGAGCGGTGAAGTTTGGACATTGGGATTCAGCCACTGATTTGTTTCTGTGCAAACTTTGTCAGAGAGGTGTTTTCACATTCCTCTACTGAAGGTGCGATGTCTGTGCACTTCCCCAAAATCTGAGATTTAAACAAAGCCCAGGCAGACTAGATTAGGTTCGTATTAATCGAAACCAGTAGCTGTCTGATATGGGAACCGCATATCGCCGGGGAAACAAATTTCAACAGAACACCGGCAAAGAAACCTGAAACCCCCACTGCAGAGCGGACTGATTACATGTAAAAAAAAAATCTCAGTCGGATGGAATATATCTTTCTGCAATCTTTTATAAGGGACCTCTGGTATATTACTACGTAATAACAGTGTGAAAACACTGTTACATCATAGCAAGTACTGTATGTTTCACAGCTATTAATGCTGTGTCAGCCACTGCCAGTTACAAGCTAACAAACCACATAAATAAAAGATGCTGACTACCCTTACTAATCTGACACATCTGCTAGTTGTTGATTTTGGTGCACAACAGACTCCATCTGAGTCTGAGTCTGACTGACGCTCAAACGTGTATGGCTGAATTTCGCCACTGTTTCCTCTGACGCTTACACTAGTCACCTTGATGACCACTGCTTTCTTGCTGGTCTAGTGCAAGCAGCAGCAGCAGTGGGTGGGGTGTGAGGCCAGATTCAGAATTTCTCATTGAGGGAGAGACTAGATGTGCTTCCAACCCCTTGTCAAAGTTTCTTAAAAAGTATTTATGTGAGGAAACCGTGTTAAACAAAACATTATTTTGTAGGGTATTTTTTACAGACTTTAAAACGTGTCTGGAGGGGAACTTTAATCTTGTCAGGGAAGCATGGAAACTCCATTGTTGGAGTAACCAATTTATGATGTGTTGGTTAAAACCCTAAACCTGTGATACTTAATGCTTGCAGGCCAAATCTGACAATGAAAATAAATTGATTCATACTTGTATTTTCTTGTACTATGAATATAAAAAAGGTGCCAGAGTGCATAAAAAAGTATCACAATAGAGCTTGTTTATCAAAAAGTGGCAGAGGAGGATCCCCAGAGCACCTGACAGAGATCCAGACTAAGCTCCTAGTGTCCTCAAATTCTAGGAACTGGTCCTTGGCCTCCAGTTGTTTTGTAAACGTGGCCCCCGGGCAAAGCAAGTTGAGTATCCCTGCCCGAGGGCAATGATGGTTAAAGCACTTGCAAGTGTGAAAACAAAAGCCCTTTTTGGACACGCTTGTTATGTAAATATGGTGGCAATTTTACATGTCGGTTATATGTCACAAAAAGCACCTGAGTTTGACAGCAGTCTAACTAGGTCGACCCAATATCATGCTTGTGATGGCTGTTTTTTAAGGCTAAAACAGCAAGTTTTACAATCTATCATCAATGCAGCCTGTGGGAAAACAGAACACTCTTCTTCCTTGATATTATTAGTTTTCAACTGCTGATCTCAGCAGTGAGACCACTCGCTCTTACATGCCAGGTGCCAAATATTGCACAAGCAAGCATAGTGTGTCTAAATGACAAAAAGCCATTTCTTCGTCAGACGGGTGAAGCCAGCAGTGTTGCGTGTTCCATATCTAAGGAATCAGCTGACTTGTTGCTGAGAATGCTCTGTAAATACACAGACCTGTTTCCTTTAAAGATCCTTATCATTCAGTGTACTACGAAAGCTTTACATGGTCAGTTAGCTGCTACACGTTCCCTGTCCAGTTAACGGTATGTGTGTCATGTGTTTCCTCTTCTCCTCTCACAGAGCCTCTCAGAGTGTGAAGACAGTAATTACACTGAATCTGCTGACCATGTGTCAGAAGGATTTAAAGGTACAGTGACTTCGCTGTAGTTCATCAACCACATAAAAAAAGGCTCAGAAAACGTTCATCTTTAGTTGTAATCCTGTAAAGCGCTGACCTCTAGTGTTTGGAATGGTGTTTTACTCATAGTTACATCTTTTAAACTCACTCCAAAGTGTTTGACCCACACGTTTCAGAAGATACAGATGTGGAAGATGACAGCCCTACAACAAGACGTAGAGTCAAGGGCTCCGGAACGACCAAACCCATCAACGGCCTGGACAGCCAGTAGGAGTTGGAGCCAGAGGCTGGTGTGCGACTCCTGAACTCACTCCCAGGAGCCAGGTGTGACGGATCGCAGGAAACACTTCATGGTGTAATTAAAGTCTAGAAAGCCCCCACCAACAGTAGAGGGAGTGGAGACAGGAGAGGCTAAGTGGATGAACAGGCCCATGCAGTGTTATTAGGAGTGCACAGAGGCTTGGACTACAGAGATGTGCACTTACATGTGTGCTGTAGTTGTAAAAAAAAAAACCTCCTAAACCACTGATCACAGGTTACTGTGTGTGTGAAAAGAGCGAGAGAAAGAGTGGTATTGTGTGTGTGTGTGAGTGTGTGAGAGAAAGAGGTGGTGTTAGAAACTGCCGATTCTAGATGTGACTGCATGATCATTGTAGCTGATGAACTATAATTTACATTTATTCTATGAAACAGTATATCATTGATGGTTAATGTGCATCGGACTGGTTTACAACCAGCCTTAACTCCAGTATGTTGGTTCAACACATTTCAATGTTAAAAGCCATTATGTAGAATTTATCACATAAATTGGAGCCTCTATGTTTATAGCACAGAAAAAAAAGCTTTTTATTAGCGTCAGTCATCTATTGTCATGATAGATGTTCACACTTGTTTGGTGTTTATAACTTGAATGTGGGCAGGATTTCAATGCAAATCAGCTTGAGCTCGGTAGGCGATGCGGATTGTGTTTGACCTGGAACAAAGCAAAGCACACAGTTTAAGCACTTTTCAGAATGTTTTCTTGCAAATACTGTACATTTTGTAACGCTTGAGTGAGTATTTTGTGAATCATTGTGACTCTGAGTGATTTTACTCTCCCTGTCCATCTGTGGCTGCTATCTTTTTTGTTGTTATTTTTACTGTACTGATAACAGAGGGCAATTATTCAAATTCCTGCATGTGTCGTCAGGCTCTACCTGTCTCTGTGCAGGCATGGCTTCGTTTTACTGTCGAGCCTCTCGTTATTGCATATATTGCATTTGCATGGCGGTGTCAAATCAAGTGTTTAGTAGGAAAATGTTACATGAGTAGTCCGCAGATATTTGTATTACACCACCAGGGCGCCAGTATTTTGTTTTTTTGTCTTTCACTGTAATTCTAACATTTTAATTCACCCCTTGTGCCTGTTTGCGTGTTCTTTTTTTTTTTATTCCCAACTGTTTTCAGTTTGTATTATGACTAAAATTTGGCTTTTTTGTGTTTGATTCTTCTGCTCTCGAGTGCTTTCTTGAACATTCATTTTGATTTTGCTCTGTCAGCATCATCTCAGTACAGATATAACCCCTCATAATCCTCGACAATCCAGACGTTGACCTCGGTGGAATGGACCAGCCTTCCGTGCTGCAGTAGACACTATAAATGGTACATTGTCTCTGGATTTAGATGTCATTTGCCAAAAACAATTCAGTTGAAAATGGCTGTTCTTTTTCACTGTGAAATAATGAGACATTAAAAAATGTTTTACATTTCCTCTTAAACACTGTGTGAGTTATTACTGGAAGTGTTTGGCCTTTTCTGGCTTTTACACCCCACCTTAAACAATGAATGTCTTTATTACTCATTAAATAAATTATCTTTTGTGCTTGCCACTACATTCATACAAGTAGGAGGCTGTTTGGATACTTAACAATAGGAAATCATGGGTGACCTTGCTCGACCCCTGAAGAGCGCTCTGCTGCAGCAGAGCAGTGCCGGATTGGCTGACTCGAGCGCTGCCCGTCTTGGATCAGATTTCACTCTGTCTGCAAACCATGAAACTCAGAGACTGAAATAGCTGCCTCGTGCTGACCTATAACAACATGTTTTTGAAGGTACAGTTGAGGTTCCCCTTTGAAAACACAGCAAGGAATGTTGTATAGTCTAGAGCATGATCAGTAGTAGCAGAGGTATATCTACAACTTTGAGCGCTGAATTAAAAGGTTAACAGCAGCTGTCATCCCAAAGTGAGTATTCAGGCACACTAACAATGTGTAACAGCTCTTGGAGATCCTGAATTTGAATCCAGCCACATATTCATATATTATAAAACTTAATATGCATTAGAAACAAGGATCTTTCTGCTTTCTGCATTCAAAACATTACACAGACTGTGAACACTAAACCTCTCCAACATGTGTCTAAGCTGGTTTCCAAAGGAGGGCAGCAGAGAGCCTCAGTGCTTTGCAAAATGTCACGTGACCCTTTGGGCCTAAAGCACAGGACATGAGTGTGTTGACAAGAATGTTGCAGTGCTCTCTCTTCATCATTCTCTCCATCTCATTTAAAGCACCAGCCTTTCATTTTTGGTTTCCTGGACCTCCTGCAGCCTGCATCAGCATCAGCTGACAGTTCAGTCTCAGCAGGTTTCAACGGACATCAGGATATTTCAGCTATGGAGAAGAGCTTTGGTTCCCGGCGTCATGGCAGCCTGAGTCCTGAGGGGATTCTGAGGGAGATCCAGGTCAACTTGCTGGAGTGTAAAGTCTGCTTTGAGAAGTTCAGCACTGAGCATAGGGAGCACAGACCACAGAACCTTTCCTGTGGCCATGTACTCTGTCTGGAATGCATCAAAGCTCTGTCCCACCCTCTCCTGAGGAAGCTGGAGTGCCCGTTCTGTCGACAGCTGTGCAGCGTTGACAGCACCTCCCACTGCCAGGCTCTTAGTGACCTGCAGGAGCTGCTGTTGTCCCAGAGTCACACATCCCTTGCTCCCCCTCACAGCGCAAAGGCAGGCCTTGGCTTGGCTGCAGGTCTGACTTCCACAGCTCTGCACCTCTGCACAACTTTTGGAGGGTGGGGGACTCTTATCAACCCCACTGGGCTAGCTGTTTTTGGTTCCTCAGGGACAATAGTGGTGGTGCATGATGGAGAGAACAGGGTGGTGGTGTTCAATCCCCAGGGCAGGAAGCTGCACAGTTTTGGGCGAAGAGGACGTGCCAGTGGGGAGGTCTGTTTCCCGGTGGATGTGGCAGTGACTCCCTGTGGTCATGTGGTGGTGACTGATGCAGGGGATAAAGCTGTGAAGGTTTTCACCTCCAGGGGGAACCACGTGTTGACAGTCAAAGACTCTCTCCAGATGCCGTGGGGTGTGGACACGGACAGCTGTGGGCACATCCTGGTCTCAGACGTCCAGGCCGGCACTCTGTCCCAGGTAAAAGTTGGCTATGCTCAGGGTGTCACTCTGAAGCATCAAACAGCCATTACAGACCTGCAGCGTCCAAAAGCAGTGGCTTGCTGTTTGGTGACTGAAAACACTGCTGTGATGGAGCATTTATCTGATGACACATATCCACCAGGGAAGCTCCATCACACGAGGCTGAGAGTATTTACAAAAGACTTCCACTCCCTTTATCAGACAGACAGCTTCAGCCTCACCCTGCAGTCCACAGTGAGGCTCAACATGTCAAGCGTGGCCTTTGACAGAGATGGAGATCTGATAGTGATGGACTCCAATCAGGGGATGATTTGGAGTTTGGGGAAGCTCCAGAGTGGCCCAGCCCTGACACCACTTGTGGGAGACCACCTCATCCGCCCAGCTGGACTGGTGTCATTGAAAAACACGCTTGTCATTCTGGACAGTGGAGACCACACAGTGAAGATATATTCCACTAATTCTGATGCTGGACCCATCATATAGCTCATGTGCAATCAGGCCTACAGGAAACTGAAAACTTATCATATAAAGTGATCTGATGACCTAGCAGTATTATTTGTGTCAAGTCTTACATATAAATGACAAATGTGAATATAATAAAACCAGTGATATAGGCCTCTGTATGTTTAGTCATGCTCAAATCAGTTTATATGCATATTTACGACAGCTGTGCAATGATTAAAGGGATAATAAAAGAAAAAATATATGATACATAAACTGTCTATTTCTTATGTTGCTGTTTTCTTGTGAAATACTTTACTTTCACCTTATGGAGCCACAAAATCCTTCAAATGAAAAGAAAAAATCACACTTGGTTGAACTGCTCACAATATGTCACAAGACCGTGAACCTGTGATGAGGGGTCAAACCAATAGAAATAACCTACTTTCTCAAGCCAAACTATCTATGCAGCAGATACTGAGGTCATGTCTTTTTTTTTTTATCATTCCACAGTTACATATGATGGATTTTAAAAGGTCCTCAAAGATCTTTAAGTAGCTTTTTTATTTTTTTGTACTTTATTTCTTCAAGCCTGTTTTCATATATACAGCTTATTTTCTTTTTAGTTTGCAGTTCATCATAAAGAAATTTTCTGTCAGAGTCAAAGGGAAAATAAATTAAGTAAAACACCGAATACAATCACAGTATAATTACGACAGAGAGAAAAAAAATGAATAACTAAACAGTTGAAGAGGTGTGGGCTAATAAGGTAATTAGTTAGTTTGATTATTTTTAGGGGGTATGAGTAATAACCTTATAAACATACAAGCTAAGTGTAAGTAAAGTGAAAATGGAAACAGAAATTTAAAATTGGATACAGGTTGGGTGAAGAAAAAAATCAAAACATATAACAAAAATAATAATTAATAATAATAATAATACATTTCTAAATTTTTGTGATATTACAATCTTTTTTAAAAATATTTTTTTGTGGTTGGGTGAAAATGATATGATCTGTGCTGAAGGTGGTTTGGGGGACATTCCTGCCCTCAGGATTTCTAAAAAATTGGCAACACATTTTTAAAGGTCCTCAAAGATCTTTTATTATTTTTTAGGGGGTATCAGTAAAAAACCTTATAAACATACAAGCCAAGTGTAAGATAATTTAAAATAAAATACCCAATTTGGGTGGAGAAAAAAGGAAAATAATAATAATAATAAATAATGATAATTATTAATAAATTCCTACATTTTGTGATAATTAAAAAAAAAAGATTCTTTGTGGTTGTGTTAAAATTATATTTAATTTTTTTTTAGGGGGTATGAGTAATAGCCCTATAAACATGCAAGCTAAGTGTAAGATAATAAATAAAAAAAAACCCAACAGAAATTCAAATTTTGATACAATTTGGGTGGAGACAAAAGGAAAATAATAAATAAATACATAAAATGTTATTATTATAAATGTGGTTGTGTTAAAATGATAAGATCTGTGTTGAGGTGGTTTGGGGGACACTCCTGCCCTCAGTATTTTAAAAATCTGGCTACGGCCCTGCTGCTACATAATACAAGTGTTTAATATTGATTTATCATTCTTATTAATATCGTGTTGTTTATTAAGAGATAAATAAAAGATAAAACAATTCACTTAGTATCAGTGTGTCAGACAGAGAGATAAACATAAGCTTATTTAAACTATCTTATTAATAAAGCCTCCTCTCTTAATTGTGACCTGCAGACTGTTTTTAAACGCTGCTTATTGCGGCTGCATGTGAATCAACTTGTCACACAGCCTCACATTTCTCGTCCTCTGCTTTCCCCCCGATAAGCGGCGCGGTGCGTAAATCCTTTCCCCCTCTTTGGCACAGCCGTCTCCAGTCTGCCTGAGGATAGCAGTCGTGCTCCCAGTGGAAGATGGCGGTGGGGATGCTGTCTGGGGCTGGAGCTGAGAGCTGGATTTGCACAAAAAGCGAACCCGGATGGATATAAAGGAAAAAAATGAACATATTCCCATGTCTTCTCCTCGAGGTCTGGACCCTTTTGGGCTTGTTTAACTAGAGTCTGCTGCCTTTTTGCTGGCAGAAATCCGGGGCTTCTTGTCGGGGATTCACAGACTATACATTGATAGCTCAGCGCATAGACAGGGTGGGAGTGAAAAGTGGACAAAAATGTCGGATTCAAAGGTAAAAGTTGCAGTGAGAGTCCGGCCCATGAACCGCAGGGGTAAGTGTTAAACCACGATTTTTCTTTTGCAATCTCTCACGTCTGTCTCCTCGGATTCATGCCACATTATCATAAAGTTTGGATTTCTTCGCCATTGCTGCTTTCAGCTCGAGTTATGAGCCTCAAGTCAGACTTGAGTCCGGTTATAACACGGTGAAAGAAGCGAGCATTTTTACTTTTTCACACCCCCGCATTCTGCTTTACTTTCCCCCAACTAACTTCTCTCCACAGAAATTGAGCTGAATACAAAATGTGTCGTGGATATGGAGGACAACCAAACAGTCCTGCACCCTCCACCCTCAAATGCAAAAGGAGACAACAGGTAAACAAAGCTGAGACACTGCCAAATGTTTCCAAATGAGTATACAGACACTGCATTACAGCCTATGGTGATCTTCAAGTCATCTTTTTCATTGCTGTGGCTAGTTTGGGTGCAGTGAAAGTGTTTGCAGCACACATATGGGGGCTCTGGGTGTTTGTAAGTGAAACAGCAGAAAAATGCAGACTGCACTCTCACTGTTATAACCTTCTCCCACCCTGGTTGTAATACAGTAACATCCAAGGTTAGCATATCTATCCACTGAGCTCAAATGTCTGAAAATACACCAGAGCATTAGACGCTGCACACATGATCCTGATTCACTGTGAAGATGATTAAACTTGCAAAATGTGCACTTTGAGCCATTTCTTTACATAAATGCCAGTAAACAAATGCAGTAAACAAACAGGAATGCTGCTGCTGCTGGGGCAGACATGATGTCTGTCACCCACCTGCTTGCAACATGATATTATGTTATGTAATTCGTGTGAACTTTCCAATACTAATCACCCCAGCATCATAATATTACCCTCGTGTATTTCATATCTGATGTAGAGCTTCAAGGCCAGGCAGGGGAAGAGGTGGTGGAGTGTGTTTGACACGTGAAGACGCCTGTTAGACTGAACAGATTAATGTCAAGCCTCAGGGCATCGCCACAATCAGAACTAATTTAACCTATGTAGCGTTTAAAGTTGGTGTTAGACCACACTGTGTCTTTAAGGAAATGGCAGGATGATGCACCCTTCTATCAGGTGGAAAGGTGGAGAAAAGCTGTGACAAAAGGAAAAAGCTAAGCATCCTCTAATGTTTCACTCCGCCTGCAGTGGAAGGTCAGCAGAAAAAAAAAGCTGCAGTTTGATGCTGGCTTATGATCTGACATGCTTTCACGTTGTAATGTGGGGCTCCCACAACATGTAGGCTAATGATGGCTGTATGCTTGGGAAGTCATTGAAATGCCATGCCTGTTAGCGACAGTCGGAGATATTTTCACCCATTGTTGAGGTTGTTTTCTGCAATTTTGCGCTTGGTTTGTTCGCTCTCCTCTGCTGTTGGGGTCACACATGATTAGACAGCTGACCTGATTATCCACAGGCGCAAATAAAATCTAATAGGATACTCAATTAGAAAAAAAATAAAGACCTTTTGTTTTGTTTTTCCCCTTTGATTTATCACTTTTAAATAGTGTCAACAAGCCTTCCGGCTACAGTAAAAGTCCACAATGTGACTGCTAAACATAAAGTCATACGAGGCAAATACACGCCACAGTCAAGGCTTTTCTCATGGCCCACATCCAGTCTTGTTAACGCTCTCTCTGCTGCTCCATGGAACCAACAGTCAGCACTAAATGGTAATGAGCTTGCTCCCCCAGCAGCTCCAGTCCACACATTAACCTGTATTTAAGGCAATTATCAGCAACAGAGATTGCCACACAATGGCAGCGTTCCAGGCAATTAAACATATCACGCTCAAAGCTAACATATGTTAGAACCGGGATACATAACAGCAAAACACAAAGCTGTCCTGGGTGAGAGGTCAGAGGAATGACAATGGGCGTACAGAGATTCAGAGTGACTCCATCTGAAGTATTCTCTCAGTTAAGTGATTAGTATTTGGATCTGATGCTGGATCTTTCCACTGCTACCTGTTGCTATGTTGTCGAGTGAGACACAAACACATTTCACATTCAGGGGAAGTTTCCATATCTGATGTAGATGTCCTATCAGTCAGACAGAGACTCCTTTTGTGGACTGAGATCTGGATTTATACAAAGTCATTCATTTAGTCTGCCAAACCTATTTTTCATCATTTGAGCAGTTTTACTACTCATAGATCTTAAAGGAATACTTCGCCCACAAAACGACTACTTATAAATCAATAGGTCATGCTGTGCTACCTTGAATTCGTAAAGAAAACTTTGTTTTTCTTGCATACCTCCACGGGAAACGTCGAACATATTGATTTATCGCATGCTCAGTACTTCCTAAACACATACATTTTTGCTAAAATATTATGATTTAAAAAATGTCAGAACAAACTCATGCACATGCTCAAGGTGTGCTACTTGCAGTCAGAAGTGTTTTATGTTGTAATTTTTTAATGACAATGCATGTATTTGGGAAGAACTTAGCATATGACTACATAAATGAGACTTGGATAACATTGCACAGGTTGTGTGAGTGTTTGTAAATCCCAGTTTGGCCATGTCATTGAGCTAGTTTGCTGTCTCTGTCAAGCAGCTGTCGGTTCGTCACTCACTCTACAGCAGGAAACGGTACTTCAAAATAAAAGCTTTGTGCTGGAAATTTACTTCACCTAAAAATAAAGTGTGCAAACTTTAAACAAAGTTTGTGAGGAACTTGTGGTTCCTTTGGAATCGGACCACGACCCACCAGCTGGGGACCACTGCCCTAGACTGTTAAAGTAAAGGACGTAGCTATCATGATGTCACCCTTTGGTTTTTGGACTACTGTTTTGACTTCCGGAGTTCGACATTACATCTGCCGCCATCTTGGATTTTCTGTTGAGGAGTGAGGGGTGGATCTGACTGAGAACCCAAGGTTACTATCGGCAGACAGCCTGTCACTCAAAGCAGCCCGCCCTTAATTATGCATAACTTTAAGCTTTAAACAAATGTAAACAGGTGAGTTATATAAGAATTCACCCCCCAACAGTTATGAACAGGAGATTAACTTTAGAG